TAGTCTCCTGCTCGTATTTTCTACACTTGGCAGCCTGTTCCCAAAGGAGGGGAAATTAATGACATTATTCTTCAGTTCTACTTAAAAACCATATTTAAATGAAAATACAATGGTTCTTTTTTTTTCCTGCGTGTTCTAGTTTTATTTCTGTTTCTATGATAAAATACCCAAACAAAAAGCACCTTAGGGAAGAAACATGTTTATTTCAGCTTACAGTTCCAACTCACCATCCATGATGCAGAGAAAGTCAAAGCAGACGCTCAAAGCAGCTGATGACCTTACATCCACAGTCTAGAACAAAGCAAAATGAACACACCCATGCGGTCTGCTTGCCCTCTCTCTGCTCAGCCAACTTTCTCTACTCTTAAACACAGTCCAAAACCCAAACCCTGAGGCAATGCTGCTCAGAATGGCCTAGGTCCTCCCACATACATTTACAATCAAATCAGTCTCCCACAGACATACCCACAAGCCAACTTGATCTAGACACTTCCTTATCAGAGACTCTCTTCCCAGGGAATGCTAAGTCATGGCAAGTTGACATTTAAAACTATCAGTGTGCTTCTCATATTTGACCCAAACAATCAAGGCATCGCCAAAATCCAGCTTTTTTGGGGGGGCGGGGAGGAGGGTGACTTCATCGTCTGCACAGTTTTTTGGCTTGCCCTCGAATTAATATCATGCCTAGGTACAAGTTGTAAGAGAGCTGTGCAATGGCTGGGCTCTGGGCTTATGCGCTGTTCCGTTTCCCATATGCACATCCATCACTGTGCCTTTGCTTTTAACGGCCTCTCCATCTCAGTATTTATTACTCCTAAAGCTCCTCTTCCCAACTGAAAACCTGAGGACTGGAGCCAAGACCACTCATGGAGGACATCATTGAACTAGAGATGACCTCCGGACTGCTGAGATCTTCCCACCATACCCCAAATGTCTTCCTCAAGGATCAGCTTCAAAAATGTCCATCCAAGAGACTTTCTTGGAACTTTCTAGTAACCGATCCCTTCTTTGACCTCTTGTATGCTTATTGGTACCCCTCTTTGGAAGTTACCACTCTTCATTTTCACTGTGGTTATTTGTGCACAAGCGCTGCGTCCCCTAAAGGCCTGTATGTTAAAGGTTGGTCACTGGAATGGTGCCTTTAGCAGGTGGTGGAATCTTTTAGAGGAGGCCCTATGGTAAGTCTTAGGGTCACTTGAAGAGGATTGTGGGAGTCCAGTCCTTTCTCTTGGTTCCCTGGCTCACTATGCGGTGAGTGGTTCCGTTCTGCCACACACCTAAGCCATGAGGTGCTACTTCACCACAGGCCCCGACAGCAATGGGGCAAATCAATCATGGACAGAAATCTCCAACACTGTGAGCCTCAATCTACCTTTTCTCTTTATAAATTGATATCTCGGTTATTTGTCTTAGTAACAGGAAGATATCACACGGGTCATAATTTCCTTTCTGTTATTAGGGACTTCAAGGCCAGAATCTATTTTATTCAATCTTGTGCTTCTCATATTACCTAACCTTGTATTAGTAGAGGCTCATTATATACTTATTAAGTTAATGGAATGCCTCTGGGTTCTGGATAACTTGTGGCCATGGAAAGTATACAAAACCAGGCTCAGCAGCATGCCAGTTAGCTTGGAGAATCATTTCAAGCTACGCCTTCATGGCTCTGCCTTCACATTTCTGTGGTTCTGGACTTGGTGTAACAATGAAAATGTTTTTAATCTGTGTAACCCAATATGTTAGAGCAGCCACACGTGACTATTGCATGAGACTGAAGAACTGAACATTTAATATTACACAATTTAAATGGATTTATATCTAAAAAGTCACATATGTGGTTACCACATTAGATGTCATAGTTCTAGACTATCCTGGCACTTTGTGATTTTTTTTTTGAGTCTTCTTATCTTGTTCCTTTGAATTTGCTTGAAAAATTATAGCTTGCTTGCCTGGTAAGACATGGCTTCATCATCCTCCAGCTTCCCAATTCCACATTCTTTGTCACTTCCTAAAAGAGAGACAGGCTCCCAGAGCTTCATAACTGCTCTCGCTTCCCCTGGCCCCTGCACTCAGATTTGCTTTGTGAAGTGTAGATATGATGCTGTGTAGATGGTACGCCATTGTTTACTACTGTTGTTTTTAGAGCTTCAAGGCCCATGTCTTGCACATGCCCAGTTCATTTTTATCCACTGAACTATACCCCCCACACCATTTGCTGTTGTTTTGAATCTGAAACTTCTCTCTCTCTCTTTTTTTTAAAGATGATTTATTAAGTTAGTTGGATAGTTTTGTATATGTGTTTGTATGTGAGGGCATATGCACGCACAACACACTTGTGGAGGTCGAAGGGCAGCTTTGGATGGTAGTCCTCACCTTCCATATTGCTTTTGAGGCAGAATCTCTTGTGCTGTTTGTTATAAAGTTGCATACTCCAGGCTAGCTGGAGCTTGAGCTTCTGGGGGGCTCTCACGTCTTTGCCATCCATCCCTTGGTAGAGGTAGGCCAATCAGAAGGTCAAGACTATCCTGAGTTATGTAGTCAGTCTGAGGTCAGCCTGGCATATAAAAGATCCAGTGCTGTGGGATGTCTTTCTGTACATGGTAATATGTGTTGCTTTGATTGGCTGATAAATAAAGCTGTTTGGCCAATGGTGAGGCAGAATAAGGTTAGGCGGTACATTCAAAATGGAAGAGAGAGGAAGAAAGCAGAGTGGGAGATGCTGCGGGCCACCACCAGGAGAAGCAAGATGTGAAAGAACTGGTAAGCCACAAAGCCATGTGGCAAGACATAGATTAATAGAAATGGGTTAAGTTATAAGAGCTAACTAGCAAGAAGCTTGAGTCATAGGCCTTACAGTTTGTAATTAATATATAAGTCTCTGTGTGTTTACTTGGGACAGAGCAGTCGGGGGACTAAGTGGGACACAGGAAAACTTCCATCTACAATCTAGTTTCAAAAAAGAGTGGGGATGAGCTCTTCTCTCAAAAGAGCTCTACCTTTCCTTTTTTCTGTTAATATTTAAAGTCAGTAACCCAGTGACAGTTTTCATGAAGGAATGTTCAGACATATGTCATTATTCATTTTTTTTTTATTGTGATCAAGTCTATGAGTCTCATTGCAGAGATTTTACTGGAAAATTGAGAGATTGTGAAGTGCCTAAAAACAGAACATTTGGTGGAAATAGGATAAGGATTTGTCTGTATTTTATTTAAAACTTTTTCTCTCTCTTCCTTTCTTTCTCTTCCTTCCTCTTCCTCCCTTCCTTCATTTCTCCCTTCCTTCCTTCCTCTCTCTCTTTCTCTCTCTCTCTTTCTTTCTTACTCTCTTTCTTTCTTTCTTTCTTTCTTTCTTTCTTTCTTTCTTTCTTTCTTTCTTTCTTTCTTTTGACACAGGGTCTCACTATGTAGCAGCTCTGGCTGTCCTGGACCTCTCTATGTAGACCTCGAACTCAAAGAGATCCACCCACCTCAGCCTCCCAAGTGCCAGGACTAAAGGCATGCCCCACCACAACTTTTCTCTTTAAGGGAGTTTTTTTTTCTTTTTCTTTTTTTTTCCATTTAGGAGATAGGGTGTCACTATGCTGCCCAAGTTGACCACAAATTCCTGGGCTCAAGTGGTCTTCTTGCTTTAGCTTCCTGAGTGCCCCAACACCTAATTAAAGCAAGCTTTTGAATGCTATCTTGTGTGTGTGTGTGTGTGTGTGTGTGTGTGTGTGTGTGTGTGTGTGTGTATGTGTGATAATCAAATAGATGAAATTAGTTTTGCCTGAGTCTGTGAAAGCATTTTGGTTTACCTTTCCCCTAATCATATGTTAGCAAGATTGTGTTCTTCAAGGAACCCACCTTAGGACCAAGTCCCTGCTGACTGTACCCTGTGTGAGCAGTCAAGACCCACCCAGTGGGTCCTGATGAGCTCAGGCAGGACTCAGTAAATTAATAAGAGCTTCAGAGTTAGAGGGCCAACCCTGGAAATGCTGTCTCTGAGGAACTGTTCTGTGGCCTGTGCTCCGAACACTAGCTCATGGTGTCCAAAGTATGAAAAGAAAAGAAGGGGCCAGAAGGAAGTGTTCTTGTGGGACAAGAATTTTAGCTGGCAACAGTTAACCACATCTCCCCAGATATTCGACATGTGTTATATAAGGGAACCAATTCCAAGACAAAACAAAAAATAAAATGCTTTGACTATAAAGTAAAAACAGGACAAATTAGAACTGACTTTCTTTAAATTTTTTTTTAATTTATGTGGAATGGGTTTGTTTAAGCCTTCTTTTTCTTTCTTGCTTCCCAACACCACAAAATATAGTATATTATTTCCCCTACTATCTATTGCTCTGCCAATTTTCATACATTAAAAATATGTTTTCAATTTTCTTGCAGTGCTTATGAGTTACATGCACACAGGCAGATGGACAATAAATTATTTTTATAGGACTCATCGACTCTAACATTCCTCTGTAGCTCAAAGTGGTTCACAATCTCGAGGCATTTAGTCCTGATTTGAACTCAGTGCTCACAAAATAAGTGGGTTACAGGTAAAAGTTCTGTTTGTAGACAGTTTGCCTTTGCCTAGATACACAGTCACCCTGAGCAAATAGCTTCCATCTCATTCCTGTCTATATCAACACCAATGAAGAAAACACACTCTCTAGTCTATACCTACCACCCAGGACAGAAGTAACAGGTGACACTGATATGCTGATTGTTGATGATGTGGTTATGACATAAAAATATTATCAAAATGCTTGGCCGGGTGGTGGTGGCGCACGCCTTTAATCCCAGCACTCGGGAGGCAGAGCCAGGCGGATCTCTGTGAGTTTGAGGTCAGCCTGGGCTACCAAGCGAGTCCCAGGAAAGGCGCAAAGCTACACAGAGAAACCCTGTCTCGAAAAACAAAAACAAAAACAAAACAAAAAAAAAAAACAAAACAAAAAAATTTATCAAAATGCTTATAACTCCCAATTCTTTTTCTGCTTTGGACTTCTTTCCTGAACTCTAGGGTCATAGATACAATTCCCCCTTTGGTGTCTATGATGGTTAATATTCACGGTCAACTGAACACCCAAGAAGAAGGCTTTTGGGCATACCTGTGAGGATCGTCTAGCTGAAGGTTAACCTCTGAGGATGTCTGTGAGGGATCTAATTGAGGTAAGAAGACCTGCCCATTGTGGGCAGGACCATTCCCTGAGCAGAAGATTCTGGACTGTGTAAATTGGAAAGGGCAAGGTGAGCATTAGCCTGCATGCATTAATTTATTATTCCCTGTTCTTGATTGTGGCTGTAACATGACCAGCTCTCAAGCTTCTCTTGCTGTGACTTCCCTGCTCTGATGGACTGGAACCCGGAACTGTGAGCCAGAATAAACCCTTTCTCCCATGAGTTGCTTTTGTCATGGCAACGTTTATTATATCATAGCAACAGAAAAGAAAGTAAGTCGCTACTGGGCTTCTACAGCCAACAGTCTGAAAAAGAACCATTGGGTTTACACCCCTGAAACCTGCTCTTCTCTCAGTGAGCCTTGTGTTAGGGACCAACATCGTCATTCACCTGGCTGGTGATCCTGAAGTTTGGCAAATCTGTATGGCCTGTAACCACTATAACAACAAAGCTACTGAAGAGCCCCGTCACTCTAAGATATTCACCAATATCCTTCACAGTCGATCCCTCTTCTGACCTCCAGCCTCAGGCAAATACTATTCTACCTTCCATCCTCAAAGCAGTGCTTTCCCCAGAATGTTGTATGACAGAGTAACACAGCATGTGCTGTTCTTTCTTGTCCTTTTGCGTACAAGGCTTCTGAGATTCAGTGACATTGGAGTGTTTCCACAGTCTATGTCTCTTTGTTACTGAGTCCATGGTGTAGACATACCACAGTTTGTATATCCATTTGCCTGCAGAAGGACATTTAGGTTGTTTACAGGTTTGGATGGTTCTTGTCAAGGCAACTGCAAGAAAATGGTTCCCATTTTTTTTTATTTTTAACTCTTGCAATGCTGGGGATTGAACCTAGGACTTCTATGTACCACTTCTAGGTCCAACTGAGCCCCAGCCCCAGCCATACCCTTGGGTGATTCTTAACATAGATAATAAATACATGCAAAGGAACATACATTTTCATTTTCCTTCAGATACAGACCGGGAAGGACTATCACCAAGCTGTAATGCACTGCCAGACTGTTTACCAGGGTAGTTGCCATTTTCCAGTCCCCCAGCAATGTGTGAGAGAACCAGCCACTCCTCGGTGTCCTCCACATTTGTGCTGCGCCTTGAGCTGGATGTGTGGTCTCCTTGGGCTGTTAGCTTGCCTTTCCCTGATGGCTGGTGATATCAAATATCTTGTGTGCTTACGGACTCCAGGTAAGCTTTCTTGAGTAAAGTGTCTGAGTGCTTTTTAATCTCTTCCCTCTTCCCTCCCTTCGTTCTAAAGTTACTTTTTTTTTTTTTTTTTTTTTTTTTTTTTTTTTTGGTTTTTTCGAGACAGGGTTTCTCTGTGTAGCTTTGCGCCTTTCCTGGAACTCGCTTTGGAGACCAGGCTGGCCTCGAACTCACAGAGATCCGCCTGGCTCTGCCTCCCGAGTGCTGGGATTAAAGGCGTGCGTCACCACCGCCCGGCTCTAAAGTTACTTTTACTTAGTGTGTGTGTGTGTGTGTGTGTGTGTGTGTGTGTGTGTGTGTATAAGTAGGGGCCAGAGATTGATGTTGAATATCTCCTATTATTGCTCTCCACCTTATCTTTTGAGTCAGGGTCTCTCAGTCAACCCAGAGCTGACTGCCTAGCTTGGCTGCTCGGCCATCAAGCTCTGGGGGTCTGCCAGCCTCTGCCATGCTAGCACTAGGGTGACAGCCACGTACAGCCACGCTCAGCTGTGACATAGATGCCCCTCATGCTTGTGTGCCAGGCACCCTCTGACGGGGCTGTCTCCCCAGTGCCTCCCTCATTTCTTGATTGCGTCAAGAGCCCAGGACTGACCCATCTCATCTAATTCGCGAAAGTGCACGTCATAATGTTCCTACAACAGAATGGCCTGATGACATACTTCCGAGAACATAATCCAATTATTATGCGACACACATTTACATTTCACAATAGCTCCTTCCCCTACTCCTGCCAGAAGAATGGGGAAATTTTCCTTCAGTGTTAATTGTAAGAATCAGCTAAGGTTCCAGCAGGTGAAGTTCATGTTATACCCTCCCCCTCCAGCCCAGAGTGGGTCCTCTAGAGTTTATATGTGCTGGGGTGTGTGTGTGTGTGTGTGTGTGTATGTGTGCACATGCACATGTATGCATGTGTTTGGAAGGCAGAGGACAACCTCAGGTGTCATTTCTAGATACTACCCCTCCCTCCCCATCCTCAAAAGGGGCTCTTCCTAGCCTGGAAGGCCAGTTGGCTAGACCAGTGGGCAACCAGTCCCAGAGATCTACCAGTCTCCCCTGTCCCCAGCACCGGGATTACACACATGTGTCACCACACCCAGGTGTTTTCTTGTTTGTTTGTTATTTTACCTGTGTTCTAGAAATGGAACTCAGCTCCTCTTACTGTTTGTACAACAAACCCTTTCCTGGCTGAGTTTTCCCCCCTCACCCCCCACAAACCCTGGGGTTTTTGACTCAGATTCATCTACACTAACTGTCCAAGTACTGCCAATTAGGGTTCAAGTTTCCCACCCTGCCGCGATGCTGCAGCGATTTCTGCCTGCTGATTTCTGCTCTCCTGCGCCATGATTCTTTGTGTCTACGTCTTGCCTGTCTCTCTAGCCTGGAAGACGGCGGTTTGCTCCGGGGCATCGCGTTCTTCATCTTTTCAATTTGCTCAGCCTTTTACTTGTCGTTAAGATGCAGCAGCTTCTGACAGGCCCAGCCAGCTGTGGCTTGGCTTTTAATCCTCGATGGTGTTTCTCTGAAAACAAAAACATCTTAATTTATATGAAATCCCGTTTCCGATCTTTTTTTCCCTCACACAGAGCAAGCTTTTGTGCTGTACCTAAGAAATGTCTGCCTAGCTCAAGGTCACAGGTTTTTTATCCCTCAGAATTGTTCTTTAAAGTACAAATCAGATAGCGTTCATTACTTCTGCCTAAATTCTCCAAGGGTTTTCCCCTCGCCTCAGACTAAAACTGGAACTCTTCCTTCTGGGCTACAAAGTGCTTCCTGATCTTGCAAAGCCTTTCTCCCTCTCCCCGCAATCTTCTCCCCATCTCCCCGTCTCCAGTCTGCTCTAGCACTCCCCCACCACACCCCTCCTGGCGAGCCTGAAATTCTCTCTGTAGACCAGACTGGCCTTGAACTTAAGATCCACCTGCCTCTCCCTCTCCTAAGGGCATGTCCCACCACACTAGGCCCCTTTTTGTTTTCTTACTGTGCCGCACACCCTCCACACCCTCGTTGGAGCCTCTGCCTACATAATTCTTTCTCAGATTTGGCACATTCCTCAACCCTTAAGACTCGCTCATGTTTTTTCAAAAAATTGTTGTTGCTGTTTTAATTTTATGCGGGTGAGTGTTTCACTGGCTTGTGAATGCTCTATATATGTGCAGTGTTCGTGGAGACCAGAGGAGAATGTCTGATCCCCTGGAACTGGAGTTATACAGTTGTGAATAGCTGGGAACCAAACCCGGGTCCTCTGCAAGAGCAACAAGTGCTCTTAACCGCTGAGCCATCTCTCCAGCCTGGACTTGTGCATGTTTTACCATCCTCTCATGGAAATTATCATTGGCAATTCTTTCTGTAAGGGGGCCCCCCCTCGGAGTTGATACAGGACACACCCAGACACCAAATTCTCAGCACAAAGGAGATTTATTGCCCTGGAGGGGCAAGCAGTGGGGGTGTGTGTGTGTGTGTGTGTGTGTGTGTGTGTGTGTGTGTGTGTGTTGGGGGGAGGCGGGGGGCTGCAAAGGCAGACAGAAAGCAGCAAGTAGGTGTTTTTTGCAGGAGTGGGGGTTTTAATGAGAAAGGGGGGAGTCTATGCTAGAGTGAGTTGGTAAATCCTGATTGGAGTATTAACTAACTAATGAATTTGGATTGCTGGATCTTGGTGTTTTGTCTCAGGAATGAGTCAGTGGCCAAGTAAGGGAATAGACCTTGGGGGCTAGCTTTCGGAATGCAGTCTAACGGTTTTTGCAAGGGAGAGGGAAAGGGAGAAAGGGGTAAAACCTGCTGGCGCCATGTTTGCCATGCTTGGGCCTGTTAGAGCCCCTCACTTTCTAAAAGAGGGCTTCATTTTCACTTGCAATCCTGTTGCCATTCGTGGTTTATAATCCTTATTACTTCAGGGATTAATTAATAATTAATTGAATTGCTTGATTTTTTACTTATATGCATGTAAATAAATCTACTTATTTACCCTAAAATGTGTGTTCTTTCAGGGCCAGGCATTTTCTGGTTTGTTTATCCATGTGTCTCTTGAGCTGATAGCTAGATCAGACACAGGGTAGCAGTTCAATATGTATCATGTTGAAAAGAACAAAAAAAAATACCACACTCCACTGAAAGTCACACCTAATATACCGAGAAACTCAGAATAGGAATCTCAAAGGCGAAATGCAGAATACATATGTGATAAAGGAGAGACTAGGGTCTGGACAGGGAAGGGTTTCTTGTTTTTTAAATTTTATTATTTTGTATGTGTGAGTGCTGTCCCTGCATGTAGCTCTGTGCACCACATGTAGGCAGTGCCTGAGGAGATTTGAAGAGGGCATCAGATCCCTTGGAACTGGAGCTACCGACCATGGATATGAGTAGCCATGTGGATGCTGGGAATCAAACCCAGGTCCTTTGGTAAAGCATCCAGTGCTCTTAACTGCTTATCCATCTCACCTGCAGGTTTTCTACTGAGCAGAAGAAATGAGGGTTTTAGTGAAACTCTCTGGAAAGGAAGCCTGCTGAGCAAGGGCACATGTTGTATGTTATGTTGTTTGTGTTCTGACGAATAAAGCTTGCCTGGAGATGAGAGGGCAGAGCTAGCCACTAGTTAACCACAGAGGCCAGACAGTGGTGGCGCACACCTTTAATCCCAGCCCTTGGGAGTAGGAAGCAGGAAGATCAGGAGCTCAAGGCAACCCTGGCTACACAAGTACGCTTTTAAGCCCATTCTGTCAGAGGATTCATAGAGACAAGATCCCCCTACTCAGTCTAAGGATTCGTAGAGATAGGATCCCCCCATTCGGTCTGAGATTTTGTAGAGGTAAGAAGTTTCTAGTGGCTGCTGCTCTGCTTTCCTGTTCTTTCAGCTTTCACCTGAATATCTGATGCTAGATTTTTATTGATTAAGACTAATCAGGATCATGCTTCATCTGGCATCCAACTTTTGGGGTACACATTCACAAAAAGCCACTTGCCTGTGGCTTTGTAGCCACCAACACACAGCAGAACTGCATGTAGGGGCTCCCGCCAGAGTCACTGCCTCGCCCAGCTAGGTTTTCTTTTCTTTTTTCCCCAAACCTCAGATTGAGTTCAGGATTTTTCTGCTGTGGGATGGTCTGTATGTCAAATGTGTTGCTGATTAGTCAATAAATAAAACACTGATTGGCCATTGGCTAGGCAGGAAGTGTAGGCGGGACAAGGAGGAGAATAAAGCTGGAAAGTAGAAGGCTGAGTCAGGGAGACACTGCCAGCCGCCATGATGAGAAACAGAATGTGAAGATGCCGGTAAGCCACGAGCCACGTGGCAAGGTATAGATTTATAGAAATGGATTAATTTAAGCTGAAAGAACAGTTAGCAAGAAGCCTGCCATGGCCATACAGTTTGAAACCAATACAAGTCTCTGTGTTTACTTGGTCGGGTCTGACGGCTGTGGGACTGGCAGGTGAGAGAGATTTGCCCTGACTGTGGGTCAGGCAGGAAAACTCAAGCTACAAATGGCGTCCAACGTGGTGGCAAGAGTTTCCATCTAAAAACTGAGAAAAAGGATTCTAAAACGGAGCTAAAAACAGTTCCTAATTGTCTCTCTCAAATGAGCAGCAGCTGCTGGTTTGAGCTACTGGTGGGTTCCTAGCGTGCGCGCTGGACCTGCAGTATGGCGGGAATGAGTCCTCTGCAAGTGGCACATTAAGCTGCGTGGTGGATTTAGCCTTTGCTGGTGCAGAGCAAAAGGGGAGGTTTCTGGACTACACGCTGCTTGGATAAAAGCATAGACCCACGATAGCTCCCAGAGCTGGTGGTAAACGTAGCCATGTTGGGAAGCTGAGGTGGGTGGAGTCAGCAACCACAGCTGCTGCAGTTTAAAGCAACAGATTCACAATAAGACAGATTCAGATATAATAGTTTACAATGTGTGTAAAATATACGTAGGCTTGAAAGAGACAAAAAAGGTGATATATACAGTATAGAAACAAATACATAGTTTTAAAAAATAAAGTCTTTAAAGAGACAGTAAAATTAAT